TACACGTTCACGGAATCAGCTTTCCTCCTGCAGTCGGCATCATTGCCTCTGTTTTGTGAGGTGGAGGACTTTGTGGACTGGTGTTGGCTTAATGGGTTAATGTTGGACTTGTGGGCTTGGGCAGCATTGGGTTGGGATGTTTTCATGATGCACCTTTTCTTTATGTAAAACTCTCTCTTATACATGAGTTGCTGTGGATTTGTTTCTCCAAAGTACCTAGACTATTACAGGAATTGAGACACCATTCCTTTATCTGTCTCCAGGAGGGTCTGCCCACATACCGATACACCCCCAGATGAGTACCCAGTGTGAAGACTGTGACCCATGCTACACCATGCTTCAAGACAAAATTTCATTGATTTGTCATTAGAAATAAATATTTCACAATATATGATGACATATTGTTTTTGTGATGAATCATGATGCTTTCATGATGTTCCATTTGTAGCAATGAAAATACATCCTGCCTATCAGATATTTACACGATGATTCATCACAGTAGGAAAATGACAGTGATGAAGTAACAATGAAAATAATGTTATGGTTGGGGGTCACCACCACATGAGGAACTGTATGAAAGGGTCGTAGCATGAGGAAGGTTGAGAACCACTGCCCTACCAGGTTTTTAAGACTGTAATCTTTATGGAAAGAGCCCAGGTAGTTCAAGTGGTTGAACATCCAATTGCTAACCAAAGGGTGGGTGGTTCGAACCCACCAGCAGCTCCACTGAAGAAAGGCATGGCAGCCTATCTTTGTTAACATTTACAGCCTTGAAAACTCTATGGAGCAGTTCTTAGGGGTCAGTTCTACTCTGTCTTGTAGAGTCTCTTATGAGTTGTAATTGACTCCACAGCATTGGACTTGGGCTTTTTTTTGTTTTAAAATTTAAGTGAGCAGGTCGCCAGGTCTTTCTCCCGAGGACACATTAACTCCCTGTCCAGGAAGGATACCTGAAGGCCAGTAGGTGTGGCAAACATTACTAAAAAACAGAGAGGGGAGGGGGGAGTTCTGAGTTATCCATTCCATTGCAAAAAAATAATAATAATAACCCCGTGACTCAGGAATTAGATTCTTGGGGCTTACCTACAAGAAGAGTCAGGGAGCATCAAGTTCAGGGTATGGGAGTTTTTCAGTTGCAGCATTTAAGTAGCATTGGCAATGTAGAAGGCGAAGAGGAGGGAAAAAAGACCCAAAGCCTTTGCCATCGAGTTGATTCCAACTGAATGGCAATCCCATGCGTGTCCAAGTAGAATTGTGCTCCTAGGGCAAATGGGTGCATAAGCAAATGTGGCGAAGAAAGCTGATGGTGCCCGGCTATCAAAAGGTATAGCATCTGGGGTCTTAAAGGCTTGAAGGTAAACAAGTGGTCATCTAGCTAAGAGGCAACAAAGCCCACATGGAAGAAGCACAACA